AAAAAAAAAAAAAAAAACAGGAAGAGAAGATGGCTGGTATAGTAAATGTTGATGGACATCAAAGTCAGTCCTTGAAGACGAAGCCTCCCACCCCCAAACCACAGAGGAGGGTTAAGCATGAAGAGCTTTGTTTTGCTCTCCATGACGCAGTGACGCATGCATATGAAAGACACACCTCTGTTACTGCAGATCTGGCCATCTGGAGATGTGCATCTTTGCTTGGTCTCCCAGGGGGTGACAGCACACTGGAATTCACATTTATCCCCATGCCAACCAGCCTCGCAGTAACAGTTTCCACAGTAACACTTGCCATGGCCTTTACCCAAAATGAATTTTAGACAGTGAGGGAAAAAAAGCAACTTTCAAAAGCAGAATTAACTTTCTACTGCTTGGTGATCTTTCTGTTTTGCTTCTTGGAACTTATATAATGTGATCATACAAGGTTAGATCAATTAAAATAAGGGGAAAAGAAATAATAGAAAAGTTCCTCACTCTTTAGTTAAAATAACCCGATGATGTATTTTGTCCCCCAAACATCATATTTATCCCTAGACTTAGTCCTTGCACAAAGACAGCAAGCCCAAGTGTTCATTTCTGGAGTGTTAGGCAGGTAGGCTATTACAATGAAAACATTTAAAATAATTGCCGTGAAAGTCTTTTACCTTCTGATCTCAAAGGTATGTCTCTAACTGGACTGTATGTGAGCATTCACTTAAAGGGCATTTCTTGACTCATTAAAACATTTCATTTGACTAGGTGTTGGCTGATAACATAATGCAGGAGTAGACACAGAAATCTGTATACCTGAAACCTACAAAATGCTAGAAACCAATGTTACTTTCATTAATAATAAAAGATTTCATTGTAATTGATGATGCAAAAGCAAAGGAATGTATAGACTTGAATGCACATTTCTTAAACCGGAGGGGATCTTTCACCTTTTCATTCAACTGTGGCTCCAAAGGTGTTCTGTCCTACTCTGTAGAAAGGAGGAAGGAGGCTTTCAGCCGGATCAATGTTCAGTACCCATTTAGACTTATATTGTGGATCCTTGGCTTTGCAACCAACTCTTCTATTTGCATGGAGGTACCTTGATGGATAAGAACCTCCCCCCATCATTTTGTGTCCCGACAATGCCCCGCCCTTTCAACACCCACCTCTTTATAAACTCTTACCTTGAGCATCTGTGCTTCTGCCCAAGCAATCTGTACCCATATCTAGCAACCCCACCACAAATTCCTGCAGAGGGCACGTGTTTTTATCCTCAAACGCACATCTGTGTCCTCTGTTTTTGCAGTTATACTACTGACCATGAATGCTTGTTCTTGTAAATAGGATGTAAACCACATTCACCTTGGATTTAGCTTCTTAAACTATTCTTTGTTTTATAGCAATTTGTGTTTAATCAACATTTATCACTAAAGTCTTTGTGTCTTCCTTTTTTCCTCTCTGACAGCTGTAACCCCAGAACTGGAGGGCTCGTGGGTAAAGCTGTTTTCCTTTCTTAACACTATGGCATTTTCTGGCCAAAGGCAACAGCATTCAGAGAGCCTTGAAATTCATGTCTTCCAGGAAAGCGAGGGGATTCAAGGAATGTTCTAGTACTTGTGCCATTCTTTCTCACCAGCTGAGATATCCTTCAGCAGAAACATACAGAGACAGAGGGGGCAATGGGGAAAGAGACAGACACCAGGCATACAGGCATACAGTGCCATGTTTTCTGTCTAAATGAGCTGAACTTGGGGTAGCCAAATGATATCTCTTCTTAATCTAATAGGCAGTAATGATTTCAGCTGCAAATTTTAATTTTAATGTGCTCTCCTGAGCAAATGTAAAGGCTATTAAACAATTTCATCAATAATAAAATACAAAGCACACATTTTATTTATGAACCTAAAATTCTCTCTACATGTACAAAGCACACAGTTTCATTCTAGTGCTGTGTCACGGCCATGGGAATTTGAACATTACCGAGGAATAAAGCAAGACTGGCATACAAAGCAGAGAGGTTTTCGTAAGAATTGATCCCCTTCTGAAACTAGGAATTTTTCCCCTGCAATTTCAGGAAATCTGCGTAAGGTTTGAGATGTTTAAAGATTACCATGGCATTCACAACTGATCATAAATCTATATTCTCCATGCCCAATTTCTCTGCATATTTATAAAAGTCAGCATTGAACTATGGTTTTATTTTTTAATGGTGACAGAAGTGAATAAGGAAACAAAAATTGCACGCAGCCGTCCCTATATGCAGAAACGGAAAATCCATCCCCGCAAATGAAAATACCATAACAAGACACATCTGGCTAATTGAGAGAAAACAGAAGCTCAGGACAATACACATTCCAGAAAACAAAACAAAACAAAACAAAACAAAAAAAACAAAAAAACAAAAAACATTGCTCTCTGCTTTGAGAGAGCAAGATAATCTGCCTCTGTATTACTTCACTGCTGGGCTGTAAAATCACCTCTCAACAGATTGGCTTCCTGGGGCTGACATAGAAAGACGGACTCTCCCAGACCATGTCCCATCTAGGGGCTGATGGCAGGAGCACTGTTATCCATGGCAGAGGAGGCTGTACCATGAAGCTGCTTAAGCCCCAAACAAATGAAAATAACAAGTGGAAAGGTGGAGTTCAACAGTTTCTGTTAGGTTATTTCAAGTTAAATGTTTGTCCTTACACAGGCAAATGGGTTTGCCTTGGCAGTGAGCATTACGTCACACTGGCCCCAAGCATGTCCCCTTCTTCTGTATTTATCTGTAATAATTGGAGGTGAAACATGCAAAGGGCAAATGCAGAGTATCTATGGGTAGATTTATCCAACTGTTCTAAGTTTGGGGCTGATCCCTTTAGAAGAATTGTCTGGACAGCATCTAGCTTAGGTCACTGGCCTTGAAAATGAGTAGAAGGTGCTTATTTGTCCATGAAGCAAGGAGACTAGAGAAGAAAGGGCAAGCAGGCCCCAAAATGGAATATCAGGATGGGCACAGGAATCGAATCTACAATTTGTTTTTGTAAACAAAGCCAAGGTCGCCAGATATCACTGTCAATTTCCCTATGACCCTCTGTTTTTCCCTGTTCACACTTGTCCCTCATCCTTCCAGGTCAAAGACTCTTCTGAGATCACTCTGCTTTCAGGACAGGATGCCATGGACCAGAAATTTGTCCCTGATAAATGAAATAAGCACTGATTATCAATAGAGAGGTGAGGCCAGAGGTAACCAGAGTGAGAGGTGTAGGAGCCCAGAAGGAATTCTTGCGTTCTCATTTTCCTAGTCCACAATTGCAAACTAAAGAGTGGGACGGACCTGAAGATAGGTGGTGAGGAAGGACTCTTTCCACGGAGCTCCCATGCAGGCCACGGAAGTGGGTCTCTGGAGTGAGGGGTCAAGTCCTGGGCACCAGGCAGACATAAGCCTAAATGCCAGCATAATTGCTGACTGACCATGGGCAAATTAGGATTTTATCCAAACTCCAACTCCCATACTCCAAACTCTGGCATAATTGATTCTTTTTTGTCAATTAGTTTATTTATGTTTGCATACAAGATGCAGTGCAAGCCAGCAGTGTGGAATAGTAAGTGGATTCACTGAAGACAGAGTGGGAAGAACTGGCAGACTGAAATACACTGCTGAGGGAAGCAGCAGGGGCGTCACTGCAGTGTGGAGTAGCTCCCTGGCCAGGGAGTCAAACTTGTGCTGAAGTGGCTGCAGATGGCATCACAGTGCTGTACTTAACTGCTTGCACCACCAGGGATGGCCCTGGATAAACTGATTCTTATCCTAAGGTGAGACTGTGACCTTTACACGATGTGTGTTAAGGACTTGCTGCAGCGCTGGCCATTAATGTTAAGTACTTCTTATAAACCAATGTTACCTCAATGCATAAAGGCATGTGGCTTAGAAAGGGAAAGAGAACAAAAATAAAGCATGTAGTTGAGAAATTGGGAGTAAAGAAACAAAATAAATCAGCTAAGAAGAGCAGAGAAGTTGGAGTCTAACTAGGCCCACTTCAGCTGTGCAACTGGCTGGTTGTCATAGTGATCTGGTGTCTTCTGGGAACCACTGGGTGTTGCACATAAAAGTGCTAGTCAACTCAGAAGGTCTTAGTCTAACTTTTACATGAAGTGCTTTCCTTTAATAAACACAGGCTCAGATCAAATTAACAAACTTAGTGTAGAAATTGATAAATGTACAATGAATGGAAGCTGAAGTACTTTTATTAATTTCTGAAAAAATGAACATACATACCTCCACATATTTCTTCTGTTTCATCATCTATGCATTCTCTATCATCACACTCACAAAATTTACCATAAACCAATCCATTTCCATCGGTATTATCACACTTACACCTGCCGCAGTGACATGTACCTGGACCATTAAAACAAAGCAAACATCACTTGTTAAATGCATATAAATTACAATTAATGAATTTGTCCTATTTTCCAGGAAATAGAAATTCAAAACAGTTTAAAATACAAATTGTGGATTTCTGTGGGTATAGACAGATAACAGGACATTCTTTCTTGAGAGTATTATAATACAGCAATTATATTTTACAGCACATAGCTATGGTTGACCTCTAACAGTTTCATGAAAGTAAATTTGATCTCAAGTGAAAAGCTACTTTATTCACATCCATCCCATTGATGCATGAATGTCTATCTTCTGATTTCACGTGGGTCTTAAGTGAAATAAAGCAGAAAATTCTAAGCATTATGAGGGATGTAACCTTGCTTATCTTCCTCATCAGTATTTAGTCTCTGCTTTGCAAAATATTTGAACTTATCATTTATATAGTAACTGTTTTGTGGAATTCATTATCAAATGCATAGCTGAAAAATATATGATTTAATCATTTCACATCTGCAGTCTTACACTGAACACATGTAATGGCAATGGGTTTTGTTAGTCACAAGAAGCTAAGGGTAACCCTCAGGGTAACTCAGGGCAGATCAGGCTTTTACAGAAGCACTGGAGTCATCTGGTCTACCACACACCACATTCTCAAACAAATTCTTGGATTGGACTACAATCCTGGAATAGAATGAATTCACTGACAGAAAGACAGCATCTAAATGATATTGAATGGTAAAATGTTCAACTGAAGAGCATCCTTTTTGGTATTATTTTTCAATTTCTAATTGTTCATCACAGTAATCGAAGCATATATATTGAGACATTAGCACTCATGAAATACGACCCTACAGGTGGAAGTACAACAGAGATTAAGTCAACCATAATTCTCCTCTTGAGTTTTATATGAGAAAAAGCCAAGGCAATAAAATAAATGGTGAAGAAGAAAGTGTTGGAAAACATAGGAAGGGAATTGAACTGAGACACGAAGGTCAACGATAGTGTCTCTAGGGGAGAAGCTCTTCCCTGAGAAGAAAACGCTACATAAAAAGGAAAGCTAAGAGAAGTGAGATGGTAAAGAGTCCCACTTCCAGCAGGAGACAACAACACAAGCTTAGGACTGAAGAGAAAATAAAAGAAAAAAATCAGAGCTCGCCAGACTCGAGGAAATAATGTGGAATGAGAGGACCGCAACCACGGAAGATCTTGTTGACGGAGGTTTTACAGGTCACGTTAAAGACTTTCTAACTTTAATCCAAGCTAGTGAGAAGCCACAGAAATAGTTCTACAAGGGGGTACTCTCTACAACACACATTTTCACTAGATGATTTAGTCTGTCAGATGGAGAGTGATTTAAAAGGTGACAAAGTGGGCAGGAGGAAATGAGTTAGTCGACTTCTCTGCAGAAATGATGATGGCAGCTGAGCAAGACTGTGGGAAGGAATATTTGGGGAGGAAGAATGGATGATGTGGTGACTGAGCATGAAAGGAAAGGGATGGGGAGGAACCAAAGAGGGTGTTGCTATTTGACTTAAGTGACTGGATATTGGTAGTGAGGTCAACTGGGGAGAGCACAGAGTGAGGTCTAAGGCAGACTTGTAGCCAAGTGCAGGTTTTAACCTCCTTAGCTCTCCATATTTCATTTCAGAGATCTGTAAATAATATCTGTCTCATACAGAGAGAACCAAGTGATAAATATATCACCCAATTACCTTTCTGAAATCACTATTGCACCTAGTACCTAGTAGCTTTCTATAAATCCTGGGTTCTTTCCTTTCCCCCATTAAAATGCTGAATATGTAAGCATTACTTGCGCTGGATTTAGTCCATATTATGGACCCCAAAATGACCTGTTTTCATGCATTGTCTGTGTGATTCTGTACATCATTCACTAGCAATTTGCTGTTATCTGTAAGAAATTTTTTTCTCATAGCCTTATACAAATGGTGATTTGGTAGTTTTGAGCTTCATATTTTTCTTCTCTGAAAGGAGATGTGAAAATTTCCTTTATTAGCTTCAGTTTCTTATGTTTCTTTTTATTAAAGCTATTTTATACCATGAAAGTTCATTTCAAATCTGAAGTTTCAATTCCTGGTATTGCCTCATCCCATTTTTTCCTCTAATTATCACCCTTCTTTTTCATTTTCACATTGATTCATATTGTGCTTTAGCCATCCGTGGGTCTAGTCATTAAGTGTTTTTTGTTATCCATTATCTTTTTGGCAAAGCATTGGTACTGGCTATTAGAGATAATAAGATGAATAAAATTAAACTAATTAAATCATAGACATGGAAGAACAGTTAGATAATCAATAATTTATACACACACACACACATACAAAACCAGATGACTCAAAGGCATTTGCACAAGCAGATCTGTGAGAAATGTTACACATCTCAGTCTGGCTCTGTGAAGGAAAAAAGGAGTAATTCTATAATTGGTATTGGATGTAAGAACTAAGTTTCAACAAGAGAAGATGTAGAAAAAAATCTTGTGATGTTGAGGGAAGAGCCTGGGTGGGTTAAGGAATAAGGATGGAGAATTGTCTGATCTAGTTGGGAGAAAAGGCAGAGTGCAGAAGATCCAGAAGATGGGTCCAGGATTTTTGATTTTACCTCTCAGGATGCCAGCAGCCCTCCTGGTTTGGAGCAGGGCATCACTAGGGCTGTGGGTGCAGGAGTTGTCTTAGGGAAGGTAGGAAGTCTCCGCCTCTGAATCCTGCAACTTGTCCCTGACATCCCCACAGGCAGTACTCTCCTCTCCACACATCTGAGCCGTTCCTGGCTGGTGTGGGAAGTTTACAACAGCGCAGAGTCTTCCTGTCTCACCCATCAAGCAGAATTCACAAGCGAGGCTCTGAGCCATGACAGATGGAAGTCCAGACCCAAGCGCCAGCCTCCCATGCCCGTGCTCTGTCATGATGCTTCTCTTTCTTGGTTGCCAGTTAGCGCAGTCTCTGGGATTGGTCTTCTGCTTCCTGCTGGATTATTTTAGCTCTAACTTTTCCTCCTGCCCAATATAGGTGTCTTTCTCTAGGATGACGTCCTCATCTGGAACACCAGCCTACAGGCTTTGCACGGTGTCTGAGCCTCCCCTTGGCTCTGAGTGCTGTCTGTGTGCCTCTGCAGGGATGCCTGTGCGGCACCTTCACCCAGCTACAGCTCACCTGTCCTTCAGTATTGTTCCCCTCTCATTCACCTCTTCTCCCCCTTCTACTCCAAGTTTCTTCCAGCAAAACTCATTGTATTATGGTGGGCGGGGTTGGGGGGTGGTTAGTAGAAGGAACTTACGGATTAGTGAAATTTAGTGGATTTGGGAGATAGTCCTGATACAGGCTGGTAGAAATAGACACTGAGAGAAATGTGCTAATGAAATTGCCAAAGTAAATTTGGAAGTCTTTGATACTGAGAAGAGAAAAAGAAAATAAAGATCTAAGTGGAATGCTGAGTGTAGATGTATGCTTTGGCCTAGTAACCTTAGTTCTAGAAATTTACTTTGCAGATGCACCTCCAAAAATACAAAAACAACTTTGCATCAATTCATTCATTCATTAATATTTCAGTTTTAAAATATTGGAAACTGCCTACTGTCATAGTAGATTGACTGAATCAACTGTCACCAGCATGGAAATGAGTTTTACGCATCTTAAAAAAAAAAAATACCATGAGACAGTTCTATGAACTAATTGGGAATGGATTCCAGAAGAAAATGTCGAGTAGTAAATGGGTAAATGGCATACTATCTTCTGTGCAGGAGGAAAATTTCAATAAGAGCATGCACATATACAAAGGTACATGTTGTACCTTTACAATAAATAATATCCACAGATACAACTGAATGTTTAGCAAAGTTGCTTACCTGGAAGGTGAGAATCAGGAAAGAGCTGATTCTCTGAGTGTATAGTTTTGACTTTGGGAGATTATTCCAAAAAATAACCCTTCTATCAGAGAAAATTATGTACATGACCAGGCATGTTCATTATCAATGACCAGCGGGTTCTTGGCTCACGTGGGGTCTCCTCTCCCTTGAGGTCCCTAGGCCGTACTTAGTCCAGGAGGAAAACCCTCATTTTGACCCATTCACTTTAGAATTTACATCCATGTAGAGTATCCATATATATTATGTCATGAAATTTGTTCTTTTTTCCCACTAATCTGCCCGATGTTAACTTAATTGTTTTACTAATCCTAGAATTCACCCCAAAGGGGTGGGGAGAAATTTCCTCTATACCCTTTTGAATTTAACCCACATGGAATCATTCATTGCTGACTAGATAGTAAATTTTATAGATTGCAAAATATCTCCACCAACCCTGTACCAACAGGGAGGATATTCAAGTCAGATCCTCACCTTTCGTTTGTAGAATACTGACAAACGCCTCCAGAGCTACATGCGATTTTCTCTGAGAGCTGTAAAAACCCACTAGAGTCCAGCCCAGACCTCAAAGCAATCGAACCAGAGCATGTAATGTAGGGCAAGAGCTTTCTCTGGTCCAATCCAGTGGGATTCACGGCTAAAGCCTGAGGTTTATCTCTCAGATGCCCTATACTCAAATGCTAAAAGAATGTTTCAATAGAGTAACTCTGGCCCACACCATAGAAACCCAAACCATGTTTGATTTGTTTTATATGGCTCTGATAATTCCTGCGAACATCCTCTCTGTAAATGTCTACGTGAATATTTCTAAACAACTCCTGTGAAATATAAAAATATTTTGGTCAACAAGAAATTGCCCTATTGTCTGATGTGTTCCTATTTCCTATTATTGCTTTATTATATCCTTTGAGTTTCACTCCCAGTCCAACTGAAATTTCCATGGCAAAGGAAAAAAGATTGGCTGCATTTGATGCTAAGGTATAAATTCAAAACACCTTTGATCTGTTACAGCAAATAATTAAGGCCATTTATGCAAATCCTTTTTAAAAGGATTTTACTTGAAAATGTAGGATTACTCCTACATTCCAAGCCATGCTCACAATTTATATAAAACATGGTGGTGATGTTTCCAAGGAACACCCTGCTTGAAGGAGGCTTTGGGAACAGCTGGAGAAGATCCAATTTGCTGGTCTCAGCAAGATGACAGTGTGTTGTTTCGTTTTCTTATCAATTTATCTGAATTTCATTTCTCAAAATCTACTCTAAAGCAGGCTCACTTGGGTTCGACCTTTCTAGATACCCACACATTTCCACTGAAGACTAGAATTTGCTGTCTCACTTAATAATTTTCATAGGCTAGAATGCTTACCTGCATTTGAGCAGATGATATCCTGAGAATTCTTGCACATCTCGTTGCTTTCTTTCTTTGTCAGGTCACAGTGAGTGGGGTACTGGCAGGCAGCCCCCCACCATCCAGGCTCACACTCACACTTACCGCAGTCACACTTTCCATGGCCTGAGGGTAGAATGACACCCAGTTAGTCTCTGTGTTTACAAGGGAAATCATCCTTGCAACTACAAGCTGGAAGTCTGAACTATAAAAATTTCAAACATGCCTTTACAGCCACTGAGGGGAACTGCTATAATAGACAACATAATGGCGTATGTGAATTTTATCGCCATCATCAACTTTGATAGATCAGTCTAAAAGTACTGAATTAATGCATAGTGTCATTAAATAGGTAATAAATGATAGTCCTAATAAACCACAAGGTCAGAATATTTAGCCTTAACAAAAATCCACCTGATACCTCTACATTTAAGAGACAAATGCTCAGTAAAATTATTTTCATTTAAATGCACTGTATGACACATAGAAATCCCACCTCTCTGTAAAGAATCTACATTAAACGCCACTAGGTTGACCCTTGGTCTTATATATATTTGAATTTAAACTGTAGTAAAATTATAGGTATATGTTAAATACTACCTTGGGATAAGTTGGGATATGTTAAATACTACCTTGGAGTAAAGGGGATGTATTTTATTTCATGATGAGAAAAATTGATTTGGGAATCAAAAGGCTAAAAGTTATATTTATCTGTCACCACAGAGACATCTCAAAATTTCATGCCCTTAAATCAAATTGTACTGTTTTATTGTGATATGCACTTGATTAAGTCCTACTTGGAGCCTATATGTTTATACAGTCCGCCCTGCTCACAAGTACGCATAATCCTTGGCACTTGTCCTCAAGGAACCTGTAATCCTCAAAGTTGAGGCTGATATGAACAAATGAAGGTGTATCTTCAGTCAGGAATGTTTGTCAGATGTTGAGTGCACAACACAGTTTATGACCTGAAGATAGGGGAGGAGAAAGAAACCTGGACTGTTTGAGGTATTCCTTCAAAGGAGAGCAGAATTTGAGTAGGCTCTAGGCCAGAGTCTTCTTACCGTACTGAAGATAATAATATTGTCTTAAAGCCTGAAATGCATAGACCACAGTGGAATGGCATCATTGATCGGCTGCCATGGTCATTCAGCGTGGCAGCCAAATCTCCACAATGAGATCCAGATGGTGGCGGGAACTAGTGGCTCCGAGGCATCCCACTTGGGCTTATGCAGCAGACCCTGAATCTGTGATTGGCTGTGACTTCAACCCTGTTGTGTGCCCATGTACGTGACTCTATTCCCATTTCATATTTCCAATTAATTATTCCATTTTACAAACAAAACCTTGGGTGCACCTTAATTGCAATTCATGGTACTCAGTGCACATTACCCTGTCAAATTGATTGTGTCGTTTTGCGTTCCTGTCTGACCCAGTGGATATTGACAATCTCAGTCAACTTGGTATCATTTACAAGCATAAATGATCTCTCCTGCCAACAATCTAGTCTATTTAAAAGGGTATTAAGTCAAATTCTTGAAGTGGCTAAGCCGCTTTTGCTAAATGAAGTACCTTGATAAGTGTAACGGCTCTAATAATGTTAGTGTATTAGGCTGATATACAGGAGATCATCACTTTTATAAGTTGAATATTAACTATTTCTCATGATTCATCTCAATAAAAAGTCTTGTTATCAACAACAGCAAATAGACAAGAGTTTGAAGATTAGGTAGTAACTATTTGCTGAATCTAGAATAAAAGGATACTCAATGTTCCTTCTATATTGGACTGGATATTGTTAATCAGATCCTAACTTAATGTATATGTAATGGATGGGTTATGTGTGGGGGTGAAAGGTTACATATTTTTTAAGTGGGAGAGATATTAAAAACGGGAGGGGAAATGTACAGATGATAAAGAAGAGCCATCCACCCAAATTAGAACCAATGGAGCATCAGTCGAAGCAATATTTTAAGGTGCACATACCCCAAATGTCATCCGTGGCGGTCATTTCAATAACAACTTCCATAACTTACTGGGTAGTAAGATAAACATGGAGGATAGGTTCTATCATATTCTTCCTTTAGTGTGCCATGATGTACATCATGAACCTCCACAGAGGTCCTATCGTGGTCTAATTATTTCACTGTAGGTAGCTCAGTATACATATATATATATATTTTGGAGGAGGGTTAAAGGGCACCTTTTCCTCCTAATTTGTATTAACATCCTAGACCAATATTGTCAGAGTGTTCATTTTTTACTGTACCTTTAGCATCTGATCAGAGAAAGAGATGAAAGTCAAATAGGATCAGGTCATTTGCCTTTATATTGTTTCTAAATTTCATACTTAGTAAAGACCTTTTTTTTTAAATATGTATTTTTTAAATTAAAGTGACACTAGTTGCCAACATTGTACACTGTCATATGACCAGAACTCTAAGTGCCCCCCCGCGGTGAACATGACCACATCATACTCCCCACCACTGTCCTGGGGGCCCCCCACCCCTCCACCGCCCCCTGGCAGCCATGCACTGTCACCCTTCTAGGGCTAATTTTCTGTCTGGGGCTGCATGGCTCTTTATTTCTCTATATCCACATCAGTGAAACTATCCAGGATTTATAGTAAAGACTTCTTTGATTCACTTTCCTCCACTAAGGAAGCCAAATAAGATTCAATTTTTGACTGTCAATAATGCCCTGCAGAATCTTATTTGGAGGTAAATATACAATTTTTAACAGAGAAAGTCATCTTCAGACTCTTTTCACTTTATCCAAGTGAGCAACCACACAGTCTCCGGGAACCGGTCTCTCCCTCACGGCAGCCAGGTAATCTGCCTAACAGTGCCAATCACACGGCTGCAAGACAGTGCCCTTTTTCAAAATAATTGACGCACTGTGTATAGTTTCCTGGGACTGCCGTACCCACCACTGTAATCTGAAACACAGCTGCAGAAGTTGACTCCCAGTTCCAAAACCCAGACACCTGAAGTCAAGGGATCCCAGGCTGGTGCCCTGGGAGTGTCCGGATGAGACTGCATGTCTCCTGCCGGGGTGGTCGCGCGTGGGCTCTGTGGCTTGTGAAGCTGCTTCCAAAGCCCATTTGTGTCTCTACGTGCCTCCCTGTGTGTCTGTCTTCATGTCTTTCTCCTCTTCAGGGGGCTCCAGCGCTTGGCTTGAAGCCCTCTGACTTCCGTCTGACTCATCTTGATTTCCAACATCGCCAAAAACCCCGTTTCCAAATATCACATTCACTGACCCCAGGTAGTGGGATTTCATTCAACTTTTGGGGAGTCACAGTTCAGCCTGCACTAATGCAGCTCATAGATACTGACTATTGTTCTCTTCCTGAGTCATGTTCATGTAGAAAACGGGCAACTTTTCCTCTTAGGTATGAACGCAGGACCTTTCCTGCCCCTTCCTACGGGGTACTGGGAGGGTCTGCGAACCCCCACAGGCATCTGGGCACTTGCCCTGCTTGGCTCTCCTCTCTGGGGTCAGCCCACAAAATGCCTCTTTAGCCTCCAGTCCAGGCTGAAGAAGTGGGCACGACCACGTGCCTTCAGGGAAAGCCCAGCAAGCTAGGGAAGAGACAGGGGACTTTGCGGGTGGAAAGTTCTGGGTCGCAGGCAGCTCAGTCGAGGTCAGCATAGGGGGTAGGCTCAGGCCCCTCGTCACCATGTCCCCCTGGCCTGTGAGACACCCACCCTACCCCGGGCTTGGGAATGATGAATTATACCTGGAGAGGCCCACAGAGGCTCCCCTGCATCATGGGGGCCATAAGAGATCTCTGCTTGCTCAGAACAGAGGGTGTCTCTAGCCCAGTGAAGCGTCTGTTCTTGGCTATCTAGACTACCAGCTTCCCATAACGCTATACTAACTAAAAGGTCTTCTGAAATACTGAGGCTGTGTGTGCGTGTGTACCTGTGTGATACTTGCATGAATTTGGGGGATGTGTTTGACTTGATGAAAATGACTACCTAAGAATCAGTCAAAGCATTGTGCCTTGATTTGCTGTAATTTGTATTTCATCCCTTGATTTCAAGTTATCAGAATGCTAACCATTCTATTAACTCAGTAGCTCCCTAGGAGAGCTCTGCTGTAAGTTGTCATAAAGTGGAGAGTAAAGAAAAGTTGCTGATAAGTTGATCATCTTGACTGAAAAAAATGAAATGATTGTGTTGCGAGCAAGTCAAAGAACATTAAGTCATGCATTCTCTATAATACAAAGATCACCCCAAAGAAAAATAAATACCAATAGCTGGCCTGGAGACTAAGTTGAGCTCATTTGTGCTCACTTTTAAAACGTTTCAGTAACTCAGGAGGTACTTTATAAAATTTAAAAACAGTTTATGGACAAGGGAATAAATATTTTTAAATGAGTTGTTATTTAATTTTCTTCAAAATAATTGAAATCTACATCAATAAATAGAATGTGTAAATGGGGAATAAAAACTTAGAAAGGCCACACTTGTTCTTAGGATAGAATACTCTGGTCCTCTGTTCTCCTAGGCCTACCTCACTTCTTGAGGAGTGAAAAATAGAGCTCACTGAGCAAGAAGTCTCTTCCAGAACCATGGATATTTGGTATATCTGCATGAACACACCAAAAATCATACGCAAAGAATAGCAGGACTAAACAGTGAGCTTAGCAAAAAGAACATGGGGGGGGAGGGGTGAGGGCCAGGTGTGGGCGGGCCCGGAGGTCTGGTGGGAGGGATGAGAAACTGCTGAGTCAAAGAGGCCAGGAAACACAGAGCCCCAAGCCTGGGAAACACTGGGTCATCTTCTGCGTGACTTTAACACCACCAAATACACACACTTGCACCCACTCGGAAAAAGAATTCACAGATATTGGAAGAGGAGAGACAAGTTGTAAAGAAGTGGACATTTAGGTGATGGACTGGAAAGGAAAGGCCATGCCTCACAGCCAAGGTATTCAGCCATGTCGAAATGTGACTTTAACTGTAAAGGGAGGCAGGAGACTGCCAGGGCAGCGGCTGTTGCTCTGAAGAAGAGGCTTTCTCTTTCCTTTCCCTCCAGGATGTCCTTCCTGCTCTTGACTCACAAGCTATTTTGTCCCCCATTTTGAACATCTATAGTTACTGTAGTTCTTCAAGAAACAA